AAAATCCTTCACAGACTCATTCAGCCAGCCAAAGGGAAAGAGGTTTTGGTAAGTAAAGATTTAAATACTTTGATATTTCATTATAGGACAAAAATCTACCATTTGGTTTATTTTTCTTAAAATAAATATACTTTTTTTCTGATTATAAAAATGCATGTTTGCTGTAAAAATTCAGGAAATAGAGGAAAGCTTAAAAATCACCCATAAACCCACAATCCGAGTTAACCTTGAATCACATCTTTTGTGCCCTTCAGACTTCCTCTGCAAGTGTACATATTTGTGTTTGTGTCTATAATGAAACTGAAACAGATTGTGCTTTTTTTAAACTGCTGTTTCTCAACTAAGTTATCCAACCATTACATTTAAGATGTACTCTGTCAGGGCCTCCAAGAGTCTGAGGTTTTGAGATAACATGAACGTTGTCTTGTTAAAAATATTTTGGGGTACCTGACTGGCTTAGTCGGTTGAGCTTCTGACTCTTGGTTCCAGCCCAGGTCCTGGTCTCGGGGTTGTGGGATTGAGCTTCTCATTGGGCTCTGTGCTTGGCATGGAGCCTGCTTAAGATTCTATCTCCCCCTGCACCCCCCTTTAAAAAAAAATGTCATGAAAGAGACTTTTTGTTTGGATAAGGACTCATGATGGTAGTTAAGTGTGCCCGTCATGGGGTCAGATTTTCGGGGCTGATCCAGTTTTTCTTTTTTTTTTTTAATTTTTTTAATTTTTATTTATTTATTATAGTCACAGAGAGAGAGAGGCAGAGACACACAGGCAGAGGGAGAAGCAGGCTCCATGCACCGGGAGCCCGACGTGGGACTCGATCCCGGGTCTCCAGGATCGCGCCCTGGGCCAAAGGCAGGCGCCAAACCGCTGCGCCACCCAGGGATCCCTGATCCAGTTTTTCTGTCAGTGGTTGGTGACTCTGGGTGTGCTGCTTCTCTTCCCTGTGCCTGGGATTCCTCACCAGTAAAGTGGGGTTGCTGACAGTGCCTGTATCATGGGGGTCGTTGGTGAAGGAAGTGAGTTGAATACTTGTCAAGTGCCAAAAACAGTACCTGACCTGCTCCAAGGGCCACATGAGTGTGGTAAAATTACTATTCAAGTCACATGGCCAGTTTGAAAGACTTGGATTTGACTTCTTTTGCCTTCAAATCCCTTCACCACCCCCGTGTCAGTTACGTGTTAATATATTTGGTAGACCTCATTAACGTTAGCTACTGTCATCCGCATCTCTTTAAATGTTGCCTGCAGGAAGTGTTCTGAACGTCCTAAAGGGTGTGACAGGGACACATTCTGAGTCCCGGGGGGGGGGGGGCAGATTTATTGTCCAGTGACTGTCTCGAATAACCGGATAGCTGTTGGGGAGGAATCGTTAAACCAGAAGAAAATATAGATGGAATTAAGGGAGTAGCAGACTGAAAGAAAATAGGCTTGAACATTTTTCAATGCTAGGATGAGGAAGACTTTTCTGAGCCTGACCTTAAAGCGATAAAATGGAAAAGAAAACATTGATTGGCTGGATAGTATATAAATATAAAAAAAATAAAGTGAAACACTCTGTCCTGCGAAAGGATACCACTAACACAAGCCTGGGCTGGGGTGGCTTCCTACCTGGGGTGGCTCTCTATGAGTCTGTCGATAAAGCTGAGAGGAGGTCCTGGGGTCCCTCTTCTGCAACAGTAACCCAAGCAGGCATATTGATTTCCTAATTAGGCTGTGATTTCACCTTATTGGCAGTGAAAGTGGCATCTGCCCATCCTGCCGGGTAATCCAGCCTGGTGACCAAGGGGGCTCATTCAGCCTTCACTACAAGGGAGCTCCCTGTGGTTAGATAAACTGATCTGTTGCTTGGTAACTGCGGGATTACTCGGGTGGACTGGGAAGTCCTGGGAAGTCCATTCGAGAGGGGTTCGAGTATTTGGAGGGCAAGGAGGGCAAGAAAGTTGGCGAGTCCCTGGGAGAACTGTAGCTTGGCAGGAGAAGGAAGCGAGAGCCCACATGCACAGGGTGCAGGCCTGGGTTCAGAACATTCCACCTTCCCATCTGTACTTTGCCTTCTCGGCCCTGGGCCTCAGAACAAAGGAACAGCATACAGCGAGCTGGCCGAGGGGGAAAATAGATCCTGCTGCTCTGACAGCAGGAGGCTCCTGCAAGGCTCATCCTGAGGTCCTCATCCTGAGGAAGCAGTCTGGGTCTGGAAGGTGAAACCCTCTGCTTGCTCTCGGGACCACCAAGAGCCTCGGAATTTGGTCTTGGGTTCCAGGCTGAAAGTACATTAACCAGAAGGAGATCATAAAATAGCTAGGACATTTTGAGATGAGCGCAAGGCTTAAGCGAGACCACCTCCAACACATGCTTTCAGTGCTGTCCTCTACCACAGTGTGGACTTGAAGATCCTTCATAAACATGCCCACCAGACGGGATGTTCTGCTGCCTGGAACACCCAGCTCCATGTGTCTGGGAAGGGGGCAGGGTGTGTGTGCGCGCGCATGTGTGCCTGCCTGCGTGGTGCCTCTGTCCATGTGGTCTTCGCTCTGGCTGTGGGGCCACTGGTTGGGGGGCTCAGCTACCCCACCGAGCGCCTTTGGCAGGGAGTATGCCCCCTTGCAGCCGTGCTTGCTCTGTCGGCGGTTAGGGTATCAATCGCTCCAATCGGGTTCTGGTTATATATTCTGCTTTAGCTGTGGCAGGAGCAATCACTGCAGTGATAGAGCTTATGCTGGGGAGGATATTTTGACTGAGATTTTGCATATTTTGAAACTTAGGTTGTTACATTTAAAATTATACACATTGTGAGTACCTGGCTTCAAAAGGGGAAGAAGCAGCATTTCTTCCTGTCAGAACCTTTTCACTCCGCCTGTCATGTAACCCGACTAAAAATAAACTACAAGCATGAGAACTGGCAGCCTTCGCTTTGGAACATGCTGAGTGCTCCCAACTGCAGGCCTGTGTCCTTCCTCTTCCCGGCCCTCCGCTGGGGACAGTGGGCCACACTGTCCACTGCCCCACCTGCGTCACAATGTCCACCCCATTAGGAGAGGGGGCTGTAAGCAGAAGTGCCCTGGCCTGCCTCCTGTGTGGCCTTAAGGGAGTTGCTTGGCACCTCTGGACCTCAGTTTCCTCGTTTTTAACTAATTGACCAAAATCCACATGCTCGGTAGCAGCCTGTGTGTCTATTAAGCCCTTATATCACTTCTGAGCTTTGTTCTAAGTGTCATCCTGTTGTTGAGATGAGGAAACTGAAGTCCAGACAGCCTTGCTCTGCATTCCTCTGCCACCCACATTCAGCCCCCATTGTCCCCTGTGGCATTCCTGTGTGAACACAGGACTCTCCTGTGTCAAATCATAGTATTTGTCACCTTTGATCCTGCTGGCCTTCCTCATTGTTCGCCCCTGGACCAGAGCAGCCTGGTGGAAAGACTGTGGGCTCGAGTCCCTCTGGTGTGTGTTTGCATCTCTGCCTCTCACCTAGGAGCTAGATGGTCCTGGGCAAAGTACTTATGCTCCTCCAGAGTAGGTTCCTTATCTGTGAGAGGAGGGTGCTATCACACCTCCATCATCCAGCCGAGATTATATGAGATTATGTGGAACCCGGAAAGCGCTTCCCTCTATATTCCTAATCTCGCTAAGTATTGCCACTGACTCACCCAGGCACCCTTATGGTAAATTCTAACGCTTAAATATGGGCTCGTAATTAATCCTTAAATTTTCTTTTTTCCCAACAAAATGTGACTGTATTTCCCCCTGTGTGTCATGGTAGGAAACCATGTTCTGACTGTACCACGGATTCAGCTGCACTGTTGCTTGAACCCCACCTCGTGGAGTGTGCCTGTAATTAGGTGTAGTTGCCTTAACCTACTTATGACACCATCACAGAATCCTAGAGCCTACTTATGACGCTGTCACAGAATCCTAGAGCCTCATCTGTTTATTAGCATAAGTTAGTCCTGTTGCTAATTGTTCAGTTTTAAAGGAGTTCCATTATGTTTATTTTGAGCATAGCTTTAGTCCAGTCGATCTCTAATTTTTACAAAGAAAAGGTTGTAACTGCCTTTTGTAAGAACCCCAAGACACCATGATACCCCAGGACACCACCATTGGGAGGTTGAGAGAATGGCCCACAGAACAGTATAAGTTTCTGGTATTGTTGTTTGGGTTTAGTATCGTGTCCTAAGAAACATTTACTCTTCCATTTTCATAATCCTTCTTCCTGTGTACAATTGAACTTCTACAAATATCTCCCTCTGATCTTCTGATCAAATGGTAAGCTGCTGTCTCTTGAAAACAGTTACTAGGATTCAACTTCGGAGACTGATTTTCATTTCAGCCTTGGGCACTTTCTGAGTTGGTTGGGGGCAGGGAGACCCCTCTTGAGCTGCCCCACGTCTGGGGTCAGCTGAGGGCTGCCGTTTTGGGTGCTGTGCAGACACGGACCCGGCTGCCCCTGCACACCCTTGATTTGGGGTTTTTGAGGTCAGAAATATTTACTTGAGTGTCCTCGGTCAGTGAAGAGGTATCTGTGACTGACGTGCCAGCCTTCCCTGTTTGGCCTCTTTGTCGTTGTTGGGAGGAGGCCAATCGCTTTGAACTGCACGGAGCTCGCTTGCAGGAAGCCACTGGTGAGCTCTCACCGCTGAAATGTTGTTGAGTTTTCAGGCGGGTTTTTCCCCCCATCCTTTGGCAAACAGCTGGATCATACACTTCGTTTGCCATCAGAGTATGAGTGTGTATCGTTCTTTTTTTTCCATGAAAACAACATAGAACAAAGCCTCACTTTTAAAAATGCCATGATATTTTGCCACCGTTATGAAAATCTGTCAGCGCCGTATCTAATCTTCCGGTGCATAGAATATCAAAACAGGCGCTATTGAAGGGATTGTGCTGCTGTTAATACAAAAATGTCAGTTCCACAGTCTTGGAACCAGCTGCTCTCAGCCTCTTTCCAATGGGAAGGAAAAAAATAATAAAGTTTCTTTTCCCCCTCTGCTGTTACTGTTCCTCAGGCCTGACCTTCGTAAGAAGAGCCACAGTACACACCACCGCCTTGCTGAAATCTTGCGTTCCGAATACTCAAGTGGGATGGAGGCTGGCATCGCCAAGGTCGAAAAGCAAAACAAACATGCAGAGCCCGGCAGCCAGCCACGCATCGCCGTCTGTAGCCGGTGCCCAGCCTTTGCCGTGGGAAAAACTAAGAAACACTTTCCATGAAGCAGAAAAACCCAAAAAGACTTATCAGGGTTCAACAAGACTTCCCAAAAAAGTTTGCATTGTTGTTGTTTTTTTTAACTCTGCCTCCACAGGCCTGGGGCTTGGGGGGATCCTGGAGGCCCCAGAGGCCAGGGCTGACTGCCCGTCCTTGCCAGGAGCCTTGTGGGAAATAATGGTGCCACTTTTCCCTGTAGATACATGTCCCTGACCCAGAGAAGCCACAGCCCTTGTCCCAGCATCTCAGCAGGGCGGGGGTCAGCACCATGTAGACGAACCAGTTAATGCTTACCTTCTGTGAGATAGCTCATACTTGTACTCTTTCACCAGCACTACACACTCATCTTGGCCTGCAGCTTGCATGGTGCCCCCTCAACCTCGGGCGAGGGCCTGGTGTAGCAAGCAGCTGCAGGGAGGCCTCTTCCTGCCTCGGGACAGGGTTCTGAACGAGTCTCCGAGTTTTACGTTAGCTGCCCTGTATCAGCACACGGACTACAATGCATTTTGTAAAATAGGATTTTAAAAACTGGGATGCAGTGTGTGAAAGCGAGAAAAAAAAAATCAGCTTCTTTCCTTGATATGCAAGTGCTTTGTGTAAAAGGACCAGCAGCTTTGGGTGTGGGTTGGAAGGCTTCCAGTCCCGTGTACAGGCTGCTCCAAACCCCACGTCGCATTCCCGAGCGTGGCTTCCTTTTTCATGTCCACGGGAAACTTCTGTCACGGCTGATGGATGTACTGATGCCTTTTTTATTTCTTCTTCTTTTTCTTTTTTTTTCCACTGTGGCCTTTTCATTATTTGCCTTTGAAGTCCAAAAGTACTGGTCTCCTGAGTGCTTTCTCCCATCAAATCCCACCTTGTCCTCAAGTCTGGGGTCCTTTGTAGTGTGGCCCAGTCCTCAGCCACCCCTCCCGCACTGTGATTCTTGGGAGGTTTGAAAGGGGGGCCTACCAATTTCCCAGTAAGTGTCAGATTTGGAGACTCTAGAGAGGTTGGAAGGAGCCAGGCCAGAGCTCAGCACCTCTCTGTCTGCAGGTGCTCTGTTCTGTCCACCTTCTCCTATTCTCTTTGCCTTCCTCCTCCTCCTCCAGGTCCTGCAGTGAGTGCTGGGGCCCCACTTTAGTAAAACCCTCCAGATCCTGGAACTAAGTGGCCAGGAGAGGATTGTAAGAATTGCAAGGTGGGCCGTCTGCGGGGTCCACAGAGGGGTTGGCGTCCTTGCCTCTGTCCCTCTCTGGTAGCGGCAATCAGCTGACACCCACACCAGAGGACCCAGGGAGAGGGCCAGTGTGAGCCCAGTGAGCACGGATCCTCCACAGGAGGGAAGATGGGGCCTCCTTACGATGGCTGTTACATAGGAATTAGCAGGGATGCTTGGTGCAGTTTCTAACATTAAGAATCATCATCCTCAAGCCCCCACAGATGTCAAGCTGACCTGGGGAACCCCTGCCATCTTTACTGCAGTGTGTAATGGCTCACAGGATTTGGATGAGAAAAGGAGGCATCAAACTTTAGAGACAAAACCCAGCTGTGTGAGACACAGGATTAATGCCGGTGATTGGGGAGGATCAAAGAAGCCCTGCCCCCCCCCCCCCCCCCCCCCCCCCCCCCCGCCAACCCTGACCCCCTCATGTGCTCATTCCTCAAGCGGTCCAATCCGGGTTCTGCGTTCCTGGGGGTGGAGTGCTGGAACCTGCGGTGTGTGTAAAGGACTGTGATTCTGAGGTGGGACTTGTCCTTCCTTATCTGCTAACACTTAGGTGAGAGTTTCTTGCCATGGATGCTTTGTGGACCTGTTTCTAGGCAGAATCAATTTATTACCCCCAGTTAATAAAGAAACATGGATTTAACAGATTTAGGGTTAATATTATCTAAATTTAAATAACCTTAAAATAAATCTCTCTCTCCCATTATGGCTCCTGACAGATTATACATTTCAGGCACCAATTAGGCAAAGCTTTGGCCTAATTCCACTGTACATAGTCTAATTTTGTGTGTATTTTTAATCATACCTCTTTTTCTGATTTCCCAAACTTAACCTATTTCTCTGTGTCGCAAGCCTGATCGCCTGTATTTAAAAGTCACAGAGACTGTGGACATTTCATGGAGTGTTGCAACCTAAAGCTTTCTCCCCTCACGGGCCTGTCGAATGGTGGTTTTGCATCCAAAACATCATGTTTGCAGTTTCTAGTGGTTGCACTTCTTCAGAGGGGCCCCGTTCCCACACACTGAAGGGCAGAGAGCCCTTGTCGAGTGATTAAGTCAGTGCTGGTGTGCACAGCATCTTCCACTCTTGGAGAAGCAAAGAGCCAACACAGGTCTCAGCAAAGGACATTTTGACAAAGCCCAGAGGATTCCTTTGATTTTTTTTTTTTTCCTTTCCTGTAGTGAAGGGAGGTGAGATTTAGGGAAGAGGGGAAAAAATGAGAGCTCCTTAAGGCAGGTGCATCCCAAACTGCTAGTGACCTCGCTAGTTAGCACTGCTGCCCTCAACATGAAGCCAGGGAAAGCCATTCGAATCCAAGCATCGTTTCCATGATACAAATTTAAAGCTGTTTCTACTGGAGAAGTGGCCCTGCTTGGAAAGGGCGCTTCTTGGGTCTTGTTAAATTGCCTGCGTGACCATCTCACCTTCTCTCTTAATCTGCTCCCACCATGAGGAAGACTCAGAGCAGAGCCTACACCTGTGTGGGGGCAGCGGGGCACCCTTGGAGTCAGCTAGACTCCTCAGAAATCTCCAGAATCCTTGTAACAAGGCTCACAGGGGGAATCTAAACTTGCTTTAAACTTTGCTGTCCCTACCCTGTTGGGCCTAGGTTTGTAAGGGACTGGGGTGGGCCGCTGGAGGAGCATAGGAGATGCCTCCTGGGAGTCTCTGCTATTGTTCTGCCCGCAGGGGAGGGGTGGGGGTTTGCATCCATTCTTTCTTTGTATTTTAAAAAGCATTCACACCCCGCCCCAGGGTTGGGAACAGAGAAGCCAATTTAGCCTTCTAAATGGATGAAAGCAGAAGCCCACCTCGCTGCAAAGGTTGTAAAGTTATTATTACAGATGGGAAGTGCGGGACAATTTAAAATATTGTAATTATAAACTTGTAGGGAAGCCTTGTTCTTCATTAATGTAAGATATGAAATCGCCTCTGAGGTACAAGGACAATTACATAGTTGAGAATGTGTCTGTGGTTTACACTGCCGCTGTGTAAATGTAAGGGTGGTTGCTCTGGTCTACCTCCTTCACTTTCACAAAATGAAAAGCACACCAGTGCAAGTTGTCCTTTGATAGATTTTTAATATGATTTTAAAGAGTTTTGTTTGGTCTCATTCTTATTCAATGAGATTAATTTAAAGCACTTATCCCCTGGGCTTAAGTCAATCCATGTAGGATTTGGGCTGGGTTTGTTGCATGGGGGGTTTTGTTTGCAGGAGGCTATGAGAGACTCCTTTCCCACTTCATTAACCCTGAGTTGGGGACAGTCTCCCCTCGCCCCCCACCACAGCCAGAGCTGGGGATTTACCAACCCCCATTCACATGCAAAAGAACTCAAAAGCCGAGAGGCTCCTTGACTTAATTAGCTGCTGTGCATTTTGCAAAATTAGAATAATACCCTCACCATCCCAGGAAAGAAAAGCGGTGGTGTGAGGGGGTGGAGGGTTGGGGGCGTTGGAGGGGCAGGAAACAGTAGCAGGGTCCGCTGCGGAGGGCTACTTTAAACATGCCCTCCACCCCTCCCCCAGGAGGCAGCCCTCTCCCAGAGCAATCCTGCCACTAAACTGGAGGGGGCTCGGCTTGCCGGGCCCTAAAACTTCCCAGCCCTAGACTTGTCTTCTGCCCTGAGAGTCTGAGCTGCAGGTGGTGTGTGGCAGGGAGCACCTGCGCCCACCTCCCCTGAGAGGGAAGGGCCTCAGGAGGTGACCTTGGCCCTTTGTGAACTGGAGGCCAGGAGTCTGGCTGGGGCCTTAAACCGCCCCCCCTCCCCTGAGAGCCCGGAGCCTCGGGGCCGGGGCGGGGGGCAGACGCTCCCCTCCAGGTCTCATCTCTGTACTCCCGGGGTAAAGGAGGAAATGAGAAGGTGAAGGATTGGGAGGTTACCGATGCGGTGACAGGCTCCCAGCGAAGGCTCGTCGGGTCCTGGCGGCGCGGGGCCGGGGCCGCCTGGGCGCCCGTGAGCGTCCGGAGCCCGAGCGCGGCCGGGGCGCTGGGCGGAGGGGGCCAGCGGGGGGAGCAGCCTCGGAGCCCATCTGTCGGCCCCGCGCCCGGCGAGCCGGTCACCAGCTGCCGGCGCCCTCGTTGCGGCCAGATGAGCCGGCTCAGCGAGGGCACCGCAGCCCGGCCCGCAGCCGAGCGAGCCCAGGCGCTGACCCCCGCTCCAGCCCCCGGACCGGCTGTGAGCAGCGAGAAACCAGATGGAGAGGGAAGAGGGCGGGGGTGGCGGGGTGGGGGGGAGCCACGGGCTCACCTCACTGTAGAGACAGGAAGGTCGAGGCCGGGGATGTGGGGGGCCCCCTGCGCCTGCACCCCAACAAGCCCAATCGGGCCCCTGCCCCTGACCACAGTGCCAGGGAAGAAAGGTGGACAAAATATTTCCTTACTAAGGATGGAAGGAGGCCGAGTCTCAGCAAGGGAAATGGATCTTAAGGAGGGTGGGAAAGAAGGGCTGAGCGCCGACAGGCCCGTGGTCATTTGTAAGAAGTTTATTTCGACATTTAAAAAAGAGAGAACCCGAGGGCCTGGCTGCCCCGGCAGGAGGCTGGAGGTGGGGGCTGGGTGTCGGGGTAGTGGGCAAGCCCCTTGGCCCCTTCCTGCCTCGCCTGGGAGGAAAGAGGGCACAGGCCACAGACTCACTGAATCACGGACACGGTCACGGGCTCATGGGTCACGAATAAATAACTTCATATACACTTTGCACACCTTATGTACAGCTCTGCCCCACCCGGCGCTGGAGGAGGGCTCCACGCTCCCCTCCGCCTGTGGGATGCGGGGAGAGGGCTGGGTGTACAGCTGGAGCACGGAGGGGAAGGGGGAGAGTGCAGCCGGGGTCGCCCCCACCTGCTCCCAAGGAGGTGCCGGGGTGCCCTAGGGAGCCGGGGGGGGGGGGGGGGGGCCTGTATGTACATCCGGCGGGTGGAAGTGGCTCCCTGATGGCGCGGACAGGACGGCGCACGCGGAGGGGGCTCAGGGACACTCAGTCTGGGTCCGGGCCTCAGGAGACTTGGCATACAGCCCTTGGGGGACGCTGGCTGGGACTCCGGGGAGGGGCGTTGACACCCCCGCGCCCCCCGAAGGGCAGGCGGAAGGGGCCCGCGCAGAGCCCCGGGGAGGCGGGCGGGCGCTTCACCGAGGCTGCGCGGCGCGCGGGAGGACGCCGGCCAGCGGGGGCAGCGGCGGGGGCGGCTCGCTGGCGCCCTGGAGTCCGTGGATGAGGATGCGGGGCACCAGAGGTCTCTGCAGGGCGGGCGGCGGCGCGCTGGGCCCGCGGTACAGATACAGCGCCGCGCCGGGATCCAGGTTGGAAACTAGACTCTGCGGGTAGAAATAAGGCGACGGGAACATCCGCTGGAGCGCTGAGTAATTGCCTGCCTCCGCCAGCAGCTCCAACCCGACTGCCGTCTGTCGCTTCCATTTAGTCCTAGGGACCGAAATAAACGCGTACCGCGGGGTCAGGGCTGCGGCACCCGAAGACCTCCGACCGGTCTCGTGTGCTTGGCCCAGAGCGCCTGCAGGGTGGCGGAGAGGGATCACACGAATTTGTCAATAAATAACGGAGTGCCTGGCACCGTGCTCAGGTGTCACATGCACCCGTTCCTATGATCTTCTTCCCGCCTTCCATGGCTATTTATCTCTATTTTACAGATCAGAAAACTGAGGCGTTGGCCAGTTTTCGAGATGGTTTCCAAAGAGGCAGAGCCGGGGCTGTAAGCCAGGCTTCCTGACCCCAAAGATGGGGTTCCAACCTCACCACACTCTGCTCCCGGGATCGGGATCGCGGGGGACATTTGGAACTGGGTTTTGTGGCTCCCCTGGGCATATCCAGCCAGGGATATGGGGGGACTTAGGAAGGCGGACCCCGGGGAGAGGATGGTGGGGGCAAGGGGTTGAGGGGTAGAAGAGGTTGGTCTGCTAGTGGTGGAAAGGGGCCCCGCGGCAGCTGAACCGGCAGCTGAACCATGGAGCTGGTGGATGCAAACACCGTGAGGTGCCCCTGTTGGCAGCAGGGGATTTCTGTAGAAGTGCCCAGGCCAGAGTCGGCCACTGGGGAGTATGAGTACTGGCTGCACACACCCTCTCCACCACACTGGATACCTCGGGCACCCAGCTCTCAGGCCTGTGGGGACCCAAATTAGGAGACCACCAGCTGAGTGTCCGCCTGGGGTTGGGGGTGGCAGGGAAGTCGGGGCCCTGCTGGTTCATTGCCTGAGCTTCAGCTGGGACCCCTGGGTGCACCTGGCCAGCGAGGCTGGGCCAGCCGACCACAGTCCCACCGAGGCAGGCACAGCCACACCAACTGCGTTTCCTTCCCTGAATTATTCATCATCATCATAATTGTGTAATTACTGTAACGGGCCTTAATTATTGATGCCCCGAGCAGTAATCGGTATTTATTATTAATGGGGAGATGTGTTCTGAGGCTTGTTTGTGGAAAGCACCATTCCAGCCTCCACTGAATGTGTGGGTGTGTGTGACTGTGTGAGTTGTGTCAATGTGAGTGTGCACCTGCAGGTGTGGGTGTGACCATGGATGTGTGTGTGAATGATTTCATCCTGTGACTGTGTTGGGGAGGGAGATGAGGAAGCAGCAGGTTCTAGACCAGTGCCCACCACCAGTTTCCAAATCACCCTGTCCCCAAGGAGCTGGAGCTGGGTCTGTTCCTTCCTTGGGTTTCAGGACTATAAAGGCTGAGGAGGCCATAAGAGTCCCAGGAGAGCTCGGACAGGCCCTCCCAGCCTCACACAGACACGTCAGGACTGCCACGTAGTAACTCCCACCCTCCAAGACATTCTGGATACGGAGGCCACCACCCCACCCCTGGCCTGGCACTGCCACCAAGAGAGCTCAGTGGCCCCCACAGGAGCTAAGGCTAGTCCCCAGGGAGGGGGATGGTAGGACCCTGGCTGGGATGCAGGCAGGCCTTGGGCCTCTCTGGTGGCCCGCGTGTCTGTCCTCCTGTCCTTGAGGGGGATGACTAGGCACTGGAGACCGAGTCCAGTCCTGTGGCTCTCCCTCACTGTGGACTTTGGGTAAGGCCTTCCCCCTACCCCCACCCCCAGGCCAGAGTTTCCTTACTTTTACAGAATAGGGAAGGCTCAGGCCCTTCTCAGCGCCAGGCGGTGCCCCAGTGGGTCCCTTGGAGGGGCAGTCAGGACAGGAGGGAGGGCCCTTTGCACCCCCCACCCCGCAGCCAGGCCTCACCTGCGGTTCTGGTACCAGGTCTTGACCTGCGTGTCGGTGAGGTTGAGCGAAGCTGCGAGCTCCATACGGTCCTGCACGCTCAGGTACTTCTGCCGCTCGAAGCTGCGCTCCAGCTGTGCCAGCTGATGGTCAGTGAAAGCCGTGCGCGCCTTGCGGGGCTTCTTGAGGCGCACTGGGGGGCTGTCCCGGGAGCTGGAGATCTCGCGGTCGCCCTCCTCCTTCACTGCGGAGACACAGCGGTGCGTCAGGGCCCGGCCTCCCCGCCTGCCTGCCCGCGCCCTCCCGCCCCGGCCTGGCCCTCGACGGCCCGCCGGCCCGTTGGTGGCAACCGCGGCTCCCGACCGCAGTGGCCCCGCCGCACTCGTGCGCGGCTCCGAGACCAGGACCTCCGGGCTCCCCAAACCCTCACGGAGGAGCAGCAGGACTGGTACTTCTGGGGACAAATGATCCAAAGCGAGAGGACGCGACCCGCTGGCTCTCCGCTGCGTTCCCTGGAGGGAGGAACGGAGGAGTAACCGAGACGGCGCCAGGCGACCAGGTGGAGACTCCTGGGGAGCGGGGGGTGCGGGGGGGGGGGGGGGGGTGCCAGCGGGTGGGCGGCGTAGGTGCGCGCCTCGGGGGGTGTGGGTCTGGGCTCTGCAGCCGCACCCGATTTTCTGGCCACGAGCGGACCCGGCAGGGAGGAAGCTGAGAGCCCGAATGTGGGGAGAAAAACCCGCGTGGAGAGGCAAAAACCTGTTCACCCCGCAGCGAAGCACTGTTCTAAGAAACGCCTAACCCTAGCGATCGCCCCCGCAGTGCCTGAGCTGCCAGGGAAAATACATGAGCGTTCGCCCCTCCAATGCGCCTGTCCCCGTTGTCCGTGTTCCTTGTCAATACAACGCCCGATCGGGGCCCCTGAGGCTTGAGAATGGACCCGACAGGGGCGGCTTCTTTTTTCCCCCCTCAGACACCTCCGTTCCTGGTCGACTGCACTGAAAACGCGCGCTTGATAGAACAAGCTCAGTTATCTCCCTCCTTCTCTCCCTCACGCGCTGATACAACCCACAAGACCGTGTCCCCAAAACTGGCTGCGCGAGCTGGGGCTTCCCCCTCGGTTTCCGTATTTTCTTTTATGGTGAGTTTCATTGTGCGTGGCGTTTGCAGTGACAGGGTTCAGCTGAATGCAAGTTGATTTCTCTCTGTAGGAAACAATAATCCGGTTAATTGAGCCACTAGGGAGCCAGATTTTTCAACTGGAAAGGCAGAGGTTCTCGGCCGGGAGAGCGCCGGCACCGGCACCGGGTGCGCAGAGACGGGGAGCAGGGAGGGCCTGATCTGCCGAAACCTCACCGGATGCTTCCCTCCTGTTTCCACAGGGCTCTTGGCCCAGGATCTCCCTGCCCCCCCTGAGCTGGGGCCGCATTGGGGTACGTCAGCCTCAGGAGGTGTTGGGATGGGCAAAATTTGAGTTGTCTGTGCCCGAAAGTAAAGTTGACATGATGAGTATGAGGAAACAATTATTCAAACCTCAAACTTGATATTGTGGAAACCCTGCTTTTTGATGGACCGGCCTGGACTGAGTATGGAAATCCCTAGCTTCTTAGGCTGAGATGGGGGGTTGAGTTTGTGGTGTCATGAACGGGTTGGATACTTGGGCTTTTCTCTAATCCTTCTTTGGCACAGGCTGGACCCTTTGGATCTGCACTGGGTGCCCCTCAGCATCAGCCTCCGAAACGGTCTTAGCCCAGTGGGGCCTCAGACTGTGGTCTGGAGGCCACATCTCAATGCCCCCAGAGTCCCAGGCCCACCGACCTACCCTCTCCGAGTAAAGCACTGGCTGGATTTCTCCACGGACACTGGCTCTAGTAGGCAGGACCTAGCCGCATACTGCCTTACTTCAAAGCCTGGTTTCGGTTTCTTTGAGCGTGATGATCGAGGAGTCTTTGATGCCAAAAAAAAAACGGGATGGGGCTGACCTTCCCTCTCTACCCTCCTTGGAAGAAATTATTCTTAGCGCGGAAGGTGGATGGGGAGTTGAATTGCTGAGAGCCCGCCCCGGCTGGCCGGCTGGCTGGCTGGCTCGCTCAGTGTGTCTCTGTTGCAACAAGGCTTCCTAATTCGGTCCCTGAAAAACTCGCCTCCACGTTGGAGAAACGCTCCAGACAATGTCTCAGCAGAGGATGTTTCCGCTTTTACCCGGGAGCTTTGTAAGTGCAAAGGCAGCAGTGCCTAGGGGTGGTGGTGGTAGGGAGAACTTCACCACCCTCCCCTGCTCCAAACCTATTTAAGTGATATGTGGACAGCCGGCCCTCATCACCTCCCTGATCAGATATCATCAGGGACAGGAGAAGAAAATTGATATTCCAATTATCTTAAACGAAATCGCGCCTCAAAATCCCACCTACGGGCAAAGAAATAAAAAGAGACAAGAGCCAAACTATCTTTCACCTCCACCAGCACCAGCCGTTAGCAAGCAGCATTGGGGATTTTCACCCTTAGTGTAACCATAATGCTGGGGTGTCATTGAGAATTATTAATAACAAACCACTATGTCATAAATACATATTTACACTGCCCCCCTCACCTGTCTTTTCTCCGGGGCAAGTTTTCTTTGCGTCTCTAAACGGGCCAGGGGGCGGTGGTGGGGTGGGCGGGACAAGGGTCGCTGGACTACATGCCTCTGGACCTCCTCCTTCCTGGCTTCTCTAGCCCAATCGGCCCTTTTTCTAGGCATGGCTGGCCCGGTGAGGCTGAAGGAGACTCTCAGTAGCTAGTGTGGGGAAGTGGAGAGCAGTGAGATGTGGAGCAGGACCCCAAATGGATTTCGGTTTGTGGTCAGGGTCTGTCCACAAATGAACTCTTGGTTGGGAGGAGAGCGTTAAAGTGAGCTTCCCTAAATTCTTCTGAAGACTTTGTACAAATAGGGTGGAGCAGGTGCAGGGCTCCCAAGACAATAAAGAGGTTGCCTTATTAGGGAAGCTTTATCTCATGAAAAGGGTTCTCAGAATTAATTGTAAGACGGAAAGAGCTCTGAGCAGCCTCTACCAGCCCCTAGTTTTCTGCTGGATGGGGACACAGAGCTTTCTCCCTTGCCAGCCCGAGACTCATTTCCCTCCTGCCTCTTGACTTCTTCCTAGAAAGAATTTTGCACCTCTGGCCTCACCAAAGAGCTAAAGTCAAGGTAGTGGCTGGGAGTGAGAAAGAAAATTAGGGACTCTTTCCTTCTTTGAATCCCAATCTTAGCTTCCAGATCAAGACGGGATGGAAAAAGAATGACATCAACAAAAAGATTCACAGAGGTGGAAAGGCAAATGAGGGGACGGCAGCTCCAATATTGGAGAAGCAGGGAGGGTCACTTGGGAGTCTCTGGGCCCCATACACAGCCTGAAGTTGGTTGCCCGATGCACTTGAAATCAAATTCAGTGAGAACCACTGGGTCGGTGCAGGGTCCTCTCCTCTTGACCAGACCTCTGAACCTGCTCCCCACCGGCTGCTGTTTCTACTTTGAAGTGAGCCTTTCTTTTGCATGATTCCCAGGGCCCAGATCTCACTGGGCCCAACGGGAGGGAAAGCTCATTCCTCTTCCCGCCTGGGAAGTTCAGATTAAAGGGGAAAATTCTGACTGTTTTTAAGGCTCCGTCTGAAATATCCTGCTAGGTTTTTACTCTTCTAAAAGGACGTTCAAGCAGAACCCTTGGGAATCTTCCATTGCTTCTGCAAGATTTTTTCCCAGAGAACGATTAGCCTGATAGGAAACAGCTCCTGGGCACCAGTGATGCTGGAAGAGTGGTCCCAGGTGAAGTTTAGAAAGTTCGCTTTTTGCATTTTGGGGAATCTCTCCTGGGAAACAGAGTGTCCCTCTTCTACTTTCTCTGATGGGCTCTGTTGCTCAAAGGCATAGCCACGGGGCCAGCTGAAAGGTTCAGACAAGACCAAAAGGTTCAGCCCGGGCCCTGGGGGAATGCCAAGTGAGCATGTTCATGTCCCTGTGTGCTTTTAGAAATATAGCAGTTCTTAGAGATGTAGCATGCCATCCCCCCCGCTGCCAAGTTTTCTCCCGTTTTCTTACCTTTATACTCAGAGTCCGATGAGGCGTTACTGCCACTTTTGTCCAGCTTGTCTCTAAAGTCCTCCCCAGCCTTGGCCACAAGACGGCCCCCAGGCTCAGGGGCGGCCAGCTGCCCGCTGCTAGAGTAGGGTGCACAGGCCGCTAGTGGTTTGCAGTCGGCAAGGATGTCCCTGATCAGAAAGGAGGAGGTCACGGTGCGCGACTGGGCTGGGGCTGAGAGCTGCCCAGGCTGCAGGTGGGAGTCCAAACCTGGGCCTGATGCCCCGCCAGGCCGCGGGGTGCCCGTCTCCAGACAGTCCCTTCCTGGTGAGGCTGGTGAAGAGCAGTCGCTGCTGCTCTCGGAGCGAGGACTCAGCTCCAGGGGCGAGCGGCAGTCCCCAAGCAAGGGGTCCCCCTTGGGAAGGGCGGGGCTGCCCGCGCGGTGGGAGAGAATGGAGTCGATCCCAAAGCCATTGGAGCCTTCCATAGCCAAGCTGCGACCTGTCCTCCCCAAAAGCTCCCCACCCACCCCCAACCCCAGCCGCCGCTGCCCCTGCCCCTAGCTGCGGGCTGGCATGGGGAAGGCGGGCAGGGAGCCTGCGGGCACCTTGGATGGAGTTCAGCCTTGGGGGAGCCGGGGAGCTCTGGGCCAACCTCCTCTGCGCATTAGATCCAAAAGGGCTCAGCGCGTCTTCTGCAGCATCGCGCCGAGCCGCCGAGCCGAGGGGGGGTGGTGGGAGTGTCAGGGAGGAATGGGAGGGAGGGTGCGCCAAGTTGGGGAGAGCAAAGGGGGAGATGGACGGCCTGAGCGCCCCTTTGGCACAGAAGAGATGCGAGGATGTTGGAATCTAAATAAAGAACGGCTTTAAAAAAAAGAATCCAAACCGCACGCTTCCTCCAGGCTAGCAGTGGCCGAGGGCAGCGGGGCGAGAACCGCGGATAGCAGCGGGCCGAGCCGCGCTACCAGCCGGCGGAACGGAGCGCACCTGGCGGCGTCAGCACCGCGGATAGCGGCGGCGGCGGCGGCGGCGGCGGCCCGCGGCGCATGGCGCTGCACCTGGCCGGGGAGGTCCTGTCGCCGCGCTCCCTCCGCGCCGGGCCCGTCAGCACCGAGGACAGCGCCTCCGGCCCCGCGGGCGCAGCTCTCGGCGCGTCCTCCGCGCGAGCCTTCGCCTCCCCCCCTTCCTTTAAAAAATGAACTTGTGTCACTTTTACTTTGGGGCTGGGTTTTTTTTTTGTTTCTTTTTTTTTCGTTGTGTTGTGTGTGTTTTTTTTAAAGGGGACTCGCCCACGTGTCCCCGGAGTGATGACGCTGATTGGCTCCGGCCGATTTTGGGGGTGATGTCACGGCTCCGCAAGCCGCTGCCCGATTCCCTTTCAGTTTGATTAAAAGAGACACTGAATTAATTACAGCACAGACCCAACTGTTTACCGGCGATTTCCACACGGTTTGCTTTCATTAGGCCGGTGATGAGGCTCCTAATGAGGGTGATTAGCCGAGGGGGGCACGGGCTAGCGGGGAGGGGTCCGGAGCCGGCTGTCTCTGCCGGTGGGTCGGGATGGGAGGTTTTTAAAGTTTTCCCTAACCTCTTCCACAGTTATTCAAATTATTTGTCCGCGGGGCTGTCAGAGATACTTTCTCCATCTCTTCCCCCACACACACACACACACCCTCCAACGCTTTCTTCTTCCTCCAGCGAAAGGGACTAAGCCCAGCTGAGAAAGAAGCGTGTGTGTCTGTAAAAGCCCTGACCTGGTCGTGGGGGAAGAGATGTTAGTTTAAGCGACATTGTTTTGGAGTGTTTTCGTTGGGCTTTAGATGTCTCCCACATAGGACACTTGCAGCCCTGTGTCTGCCCTCTTTAGACCCTGCAGGGTTCTCAGGGGTTTGAGAAAGCCTGGAGCCGGGCCCTGAAATGGAATCGGGCACAACGATGGCCTCATTGTGGGGCAAGGGTGGAGCACATGGGGAGATCGTGTCGGGGACACTGAGGACCCCGAGAAATCTGACTGGTTCCCGGGAGGCAGCGCACCGGACAAAGAAGGCAGAGACCTCTGCCCAGCTCACAGCCCCTCCTGTGGTGTGTGTGCCAGGCACCGGGTGTTTTTGTACCTCTAAACAGGGACGCAAAAGAGAGTGCGAGTATAGATGTCTGCAAATGGCTTGGTTTCTTACTCCGCACGGAGCCGGAGCTCGCTCGGGGGATATGTTTTCAAGGCAGCGCTGGAAACACGGTCTTTTCATTGAGAATAACATGTGCCCACGCCCTCCTGACTCCCCCAGCCACAGTGCTCGAGTTCCGTGTCTTTCAGGGGCTGAGCCTCCAGTGTGGGGCCCAGGGCGGCGGGCAGATCTGAAGCGTGGCCGGGCCTGGATCAGCCCGGATCCTCCCGGCGCGGCCCCAGGGATCGCGACCCAGGGCGGTGGCCGAGGGCGGAGAGAGCCGAGCCATTGCACCTGCAGGCAGCCCCGCAGGCCCTGGGCACCCTTGGCCAGCTCCAGGCAGGGAGCCCAGGCCTTCCCAGGCAGGTTGTGTGCTGCCGACCCCTTCCCCACAGGCCCCCAGAAAACCACCCGGGCCCCGCATCAGGCTCAGCGGCCGAGGGGGCAGTGGAACTGTGAGGCCTCCGCTTCCCCCTAAACCCGACACCGGGTGCCGGTGGGAGCCCCGCACTGCCCGGCGAGCAGAAACTTTCTTCCTGCTCCGGCGACGTTGGCGGTGGCCTCACGCCTGGCTCCCCACGCTCTCCCCCTGCGCCTGCCGGCAGATTGGAAGCGGCCTCGCCGCCGGCCGGGCTGGGAGCGAGGACGGGCAGCTCCCCGGGGACCGCGGGCCCCGCTCGGCTGCAAGCTGTCGGGGAAGCAGGAGGGCGGGCGCCGAGGGGCCGCTAGCAGACAGGCCCCCGCCCCAGCTCGGCCGCAGTTGCAGTGGACGCTTCCTGTGGCGGGCCGGCGGGCAGCTCGTTCATTTTCGTTGGGTGGATAGGGAAGGGGACATACATCACCAGGGCCGCAGGCTGCCTTGGCCCTTCCCGGCCAGCCCCCAGCTCGGGCCTCGTTCCTACTGCTCTGGGTGCCTCTCGAGGCCTTTTCTACTTTCTCCACTCTGTCGCCCCACCCCTGCTCCTTGAGGCTTGGTGCTGCATCCTTGAAGCAACCATCTCCAACAGTGCAGCCAAGGTCCCAACTCCAGCCAACAAGATCCCCCATCCCGGGCCTCTGAGAGGTCATGATGCACCCAGGGCCAGGATCCATGGACCCGCCCAGGTCCTGAGAAAGTCGTTGTCCTGCTCTTGTCAGCCCTGTGCCAGGCAGACCTGTATCTGGCGGGGCACGGACCTTCTCTGGCCTCCTGGTCTTAGGCTGGGGTTTGGATCCCGGACCTATCGAAAAACGAAGCCTCCAGTAGTGCTGAGCCCTGAGCCACGGGGAACAGAGCTGCAGCAGGGTGTGTGTAAGGGCGAAACTTACAGTTGAAAAGAACAGCATGAACCCGGACCTCCTGCAGCCCTGGCTGGCTTCTCAGCATTCCTTAGAGCCCGAGAATATTTAACAAGTTGTTAGTGTGCTATCATTAGTATTGAATGATCATGGTCTATTCTAATATAGAACATGCTATGCAATTTATTTCATTTGGAAATTTCTCTGAGATTCAGCGTCTCATTAACCTCGTTTTATTCTTATCTGGGTGTTTCCAGCTCCACCACCAGTCCTCCTCCATTCTCTTTTCTCTGTCACCTGGATGGTTCTTGCATCTCAGCCGGTCCACAGCCTATGAGGTTTGTGTGTGTGTGCTCACCTGGGCTCTTGTTTAGCTGGGAAGGCGTCGGAGAATAGGCATTTGACTGAGCATCCAGGGGTTCCCGGGCAGGTAATACGACCGACCCTTTCAGAAAGGAGCCTGGTTGGTCCTGGATGGATAAAAGGGGTTTGAGGTCCAGCAAAGCTGGGTGTGGACCTTAGCAAGTGACTTACCTCGGAAAGTTCCATTTAAAGCAGGAGGAAGACTTCTTGCCCACTCCCCAAGGAGAAAGTGAGCCTGGTGGGGGGACTTGGGGGCCTCAAGGGGAAACAAAGTGAATGAGTGTTGCAAGGGCACTTCCTGGACCAGGCTCCCAGGATTGCTCTGTCTTACAAAGGGCTCCGTACTGCCACTCCAGCACCCAGACCCCTGTGCCAGGCTCCTTTTTCTCCCTCTTCAGCCTCTCATTTCTTCTTGGACCTTCTAGCTTCACATTCCAGTTATTTAGGCTCTTTGAGGTTGTTTTTTTTTTAATTTTTAAGATTTTATTTATTTGAGAGAGAAAGACAGCACAAGTAGGGGAGGGGCAGAGGGAGAGGGAGAGCCCCCTCTCCCTCTCCCGCTGAGCAGGGAGCCCAAGGACTGACTCAAGGTTCAATCCCAGGATCCAGGGATCATGACCTGAGCAGAAGGCAGATGCTTCACCTCCTGAGCCACTCAGGGGCTCTGAGGTGGCTTTAAAAAAAAACCTTTCAGCCTCTCCTGGGTTAAACAAACAAACAAACAAACCCAGAGCCCTAGATGGTCCCAAACCACTCACTCACAGACAGAGAGACACCCACAGAGAAGGAGCTGTCAAGCTGTCACTCTTCTCCAGGGACAGGAAGGGCAGCTTCATGGACAAGTCTTCAGAAGATCTGGGTTCTGGCTCTGACCTTACTCTGAGCAGAACATCTCTCTGGCCTGGACAAACATTCAGTTTCAGAGATTTGTAGCCAGGGGTGTGGGTGGAAGAGGCCCATGGATGGGGATGAAGATGGTGATGAAGGAGAATACACATCCTCCTGCTCCACCTGAGGCTCTTGGCTCGGGTTTGGCTTTGGGTCAGGAATTGCCCTGGGAGTGTCTGGGCTTCTGGCTGGGCCATGGTTCTTACCAACCAACTTCCTTCTTCTCAGCTTCCCCTCCCTCTCCACGGAATGCCCCCAGGCCGCAGGCATGGAGGAGGGGTTGTTCTGGCAAGTTTTGTTCCCTTGGCTCAGCGAGCAGAGCAACACAGGGGAGATGCACCCACAGCCTTTTGAGAATGCTCCTCAGGTCCTCTTGGCCCATAAAGAATTGTAACCTGAATGCCATTCAAGGTCCTGAGTAACTGGGACCAGAGGCAGTGCGGTGTGGTCAGGGCGGGTGGTTGAGGATATGGACTGCACAACTGGCCAGACTTGAGGAAGAATCCTGGTTCTAATGTCCAGGCTGGGACCAAGGGGAGGCAGGTGAGGTGAGCCACCAACATCTATACTGAAACGATTGCTAGTTTGTCCATCAGAAATTTTAAAATTTTGATTTAAAAAATTGCTTTAGGAGATCCCTGGGTGGCTTGGCGGTTTGGTGCCTGCCTTCAGCCCAGGGAGTCCCGGGATCAAGTCCCGTGTTGGGCTTGCATGGAGCCTGCTTCCCCCTCTGCCTGTGTCTCTGCCTCTCTCTCTCTGTGTCTCTCATGAATGAATAAATAAAATCTTTTTAA